AAGCACGTGCACAAAAAAATTGTAGATTTATAATTGAACACATCAGGTGCATTCAAAATTTTATGTATTAACAGCTCCATCAATTCTAATTTTTACTGGAAGTAGATCTCAAATCTCAGAAATGCTCAAATGGGGACTTAACAGATGACTTGTTAACAAAAGCTTTTCTCTTTGGCACAGACATTCCCCCCTGTACTGATTATGAAGTGGATCAGTTTCCCCTCCGGATGCGAGACTGGCTTAAGAACATCCTTATTCAATATTATGAACGTGACCTGAACACTTCTGGGATTCTAACTGAAAAGCAAAGGAATAAGGTCAGCAATCCTCTTCAAATAAGACCATGCCATTACAGGGACTAGCCTGGAACATCTCATACAAAATAGCATGAATAGATAACTTCTGAGATGGCTTATTTCCCACCAAAACATGCGTTGCTTGCCTCAGGACAGAAGATGTGATAAAACTGGTTTAATCCCCTAAAAAGCTGAGGTTTCTGCCCCCCTTAGCTGAGTCTGACAATTACACCACAAGAATTGCACTTCCTTTCTAGTTACTGCCAAAGGTGGCATAAATAGCAGCAACAATGTCCTGAACTACCGAAGGCAAGCTTTTCATGCTGCATATGGTCACCAACACTAAAACACATTTCCTTAGGGGTATTTCATTATCAAGTTTAATTTCTCCAAAACACCTTCTTGCCAGATAGTTCTCTTCAGGACAGATCTTCAACCCAAAACAAAAAAATAACAATTTCTGTGTTGAGTTCAGGTAAAAAAGATCTACCAGAATGACAAGCGCCTTGTGGCTGGTGACCACCCAGTTGAGCTGCTCCTGCACGACTTTGAGAAAAATTACCACATGTATGTGTATCCTGTGCACTGGCAGTTTCACCAGCTTGATCAGCACCCTGTTGACAGGTAAAAAAAAAAAAAAAAAAAAAAAAATCTATGGTTCAGTTCTGATTTGCTGATTAAACTCAGGCTGTTTTACTTTTCTAAACACCTCAAGGGATTCTCTACATACAGAACCAGTTCCTTAGCTGTTAGAAACCAGTTATCACCCCCTCTCTAACACAGAACTTTTTCTCTCATTGTTTTCCTGATCATACTCTAGGTTAGAATCTGCTATCCTCTTGCCTTGCACGATCATGTATTACACTGTAAGCTCTACAGTGTCTTAATACCTACTAATACTCTCAGCCAGGAAGAAGTCCTGTTATTACTGAAGATAAGAGAAACACGCGAAGTACAAAGGACAGAGTCCTGGCAGCAAAAATCCACTAGTGAGTGGATAGTTTTCAACTAACACCACAGAGGTCTCTCAGTTTAAGGAGCAGATATAGTCACAGTTCAGAGCAAACTTCCACCTTCTGAGAACATAACTCAGATTTCAAGCTTTTGATCATTTCAACCAGTGATGGGATCTGTATTTCCAAGTTCAGACCTTCAATATCTCAGGACTAATCACACCTACTGTTTTAGAACATAGTTAAGCACTTTGCAAGCTTAATATCCTGAGGATTAACAGCAAAAGTCCACAAATGATGAGTTGTGAGCAAGTTGCTCTTTCAGTGCCTGTAATTACTACAAAAGTAATACTTGTTCTAGGAAAAAAAGATGTTGGCAAACAAACATGCAGCAAAAGTATTTTAGCTCAGCAGATATTAGACATCTTTATCATGACCTGGAACATATTCACTACAGAAGCACCACAACAAAATCCACTGGGGCATCTCTGATAAAGCCATCATTGTTTTTTCTAGCATCTTAGATGAGCTTTGATAATCCTGCTGATTTATTAAGGAAATGCAGCTCTCCATACCTGCCCTTTCTTTCAGATTATTAACACACTCGGAGCTTGCACCCTTGAGAGCCTCCCTTGTTCCCATGGAACACTGCATAACCCGTTTCTTCCAAGAGTGCAATGGAGACCAGGACAAACTCATTGCTTTGAAGGAATGGTGCCACTGCTTTGGGATTAAGGAAGGTAAACCTAAAAGAATAGGCAGATGTACCCAACAGAATGTTCCTGCCAAGAACATTACTCAGACCTCAAAGTAAGGCAAAGAAATTGTAAGCACATGGCTACTGTGCCGAGAAGAAAACAGAACACTAGTAACAAGACTGCAAAAGGTCAACAGGGTTAACAACATAGCACAGATTAATCCCAGAAGAGTTATGGGACAGAAGGCATTTGGCCAAACAAGCAGACTGAAGAAATGTGTTCAAAACCCTACTAGCAAGTCCCTAATTTAAGAGGAGGCTGATGCTCGTCAGAAGTCAGACACACAGAACCTTTGCTCTTCCCAGAATTTTTCCAACTCTTCTGATGACATTTTACCAGTCATGAAGGACGAAGCTGCAAGGAGTTATCATAGTACATATAGCAGTATACTTCTGCCACTGATTGCTCATTCATAGCATCAGCCACTTTATTGATAGTGATACAGCATAAAAATATCTCTTTGGCATAAAATGCTAATAATGTTTTCTTCTTCTTTGTTGCAGAGGACATAAATGAAAATCTCCTTTTCTGAGCCTGGCTGAACAGACTCCCACTACTGCACTAAAACTGATGAATCCTGCTTACGTCTGTAATTAACAGCTTAACAGCTTTCAAGAAAATGGTGGAATGAGGTTCACAAACAACCCAAGTGCAGAAAATTTCTACATTCATTAACAGCAGAAAAATTTAACTACTTCATAGCTAAAAAACCAGTGTTTCCTGCCACATGTATCCATTATTCTTCTGAACCAATAAATACTACTAACCTAATGACTAAGCTGTTCACAAAACTCTTCAGTAGAATTATAGAATGTAGATGTTATCACCCACTGAAATGGGACCTGTTTCCTTTATTTACTGTATTGTCAGCTTTACATGCTGCGTAGAAGTCTCAAATAAAATAGAAGTCTATTGGGTATATGGGTTTTGTCACAACTTTGTTGAAGAAAATTGTGTTTCTTTTGCCTTTGCCCATCTTTTTCTCTCCTCAAAAGAAGCACAATTTAAGCATAAAAAAAACCCCAGGACAGGATGAGATTATTCCTGAGTCCCCACAAATTTGAGATTTTAAGGTAAGCACTTCACTGAAAACATTCCAGGCATATTCAGCTTTAAGGAAAAAGCCCCAAATGCTACTCCTACAAAGGATGAGCAGCAAACACCTTTTGCCTGAACCACATCACTTCTCCAAACAAAAGAAGATGGGAGTCAGAAATGCTATTTTGGTAGCTTAAATAGTGGAAGTCCCATCCCCCTCTGCTAATTTGCTCTTGAACCAGTAAAGGCTGATAATCATAGTCCAACACCAGGCTGATGCCCTGGGATACAATTAATTAAGCTGTGATTATTTTCAACACAAGGACTTCTTACACAAACCACAGATTACTTCCTAGGAATGCCAGTTTTTTTCCATAATCCTGACTTGTTGCTCCCTTCACATTCTGCAACATTACACAGCAGTGTGTAAATAACTCAACCTGGATGGCATGCTCAAAAGCACATTCTCTATGCTAGTTCTATTTGGAAAAGATCCTTTCTCTGGGACTTCAAATGTCTTGGGAGAGAAAGTAATTTTGACAGCACTTTTTCAGCCTGGCTGCAGCCTATTGCTTATTTGCTCTGTTTTTTGTTTAACCCACACAGAGTTGGGTGGCACAGCTCTCAAACTGCAAGTACACTGTCAGTACACAGATGGCCTCAAAAGGTAATGACTTTAACCCACAAATTTCCATTTCTTCAGGAAAAAGAATTTATGCTCTCAGTTTGCAGCTTCAGTACTCTCAGTATCATCACCTGACTACTCCTCCAGCATCACTACAGTTAGAATATCCACAGTGAAAAAATAAACAACAAATACTCTTTTAGTAACACATTTCCACTGCCAAGCCTGTCAGTCCTCTAAGGATTAGTAGGGGTTGTTACAAAAAAAAAACCAAAAAAAAAAACCCCTGCAGTTTTTATCAGCTGAGAAGTAAACTAATAACCCAAAACATCTGAAGAAGTCATGATTCATGACATTTTGTGGTTTTCTGATGCAAGACAGAGTATTAAAAACTGTATATAGAGACTGCAGATCCACATCCCCTGACTCTCTAAGAAGGGTCTGCTCTTGTGGTCATGCTTTCAAAACCCAGCTACACTGCTGGGAGTCTATTTTGCACAATGCATCACATCACAGAAGAAATCAGATGGGCAGGAAGAGGTGAGCAAGGATTGAAAGAAAAATTAATATCTTTTGACATTACCTTTTCCTTTGAAAAGAACATACTAATAACTCTGCAAGATTCCCAGGGTTTCCTGCATGAACACCCATAACTCCTCCAGGTTTCACTAGCTAATTGGGAGGCAGGGGTAGGGTTGAAAAGGAGGAAGTCCTAAACCCATTAATCAGTTAAGCAGGATGTGGATAAAGTCTCAACAGTGCATGAGTGTGTCACAGTACTGTTACAGAAGGTAATTCCAGACCATGACATTTATCACCAACTTACTTCAACACATGAATCAAAATTCCTGAAGTCCTCAGGTCTCAACATCAACTTTCAGCTATCACTATCACCAACTCCTGATACCAATACACAATTAACAGCAATTGATTAAAAACACAGAGAGAAATGTCAGCAACTGCTGTGCAGCCCCTGTTAGCAGCATAAATTACACAGAAAGCCCCCATCAGCCTCCTGACTGCAAGTTATTCACATCACCTGTAGGGTAAGAAACCAGCACAATTTACAAGATTATACTTCAAGGTTGCTCTTTCCAGTGATTCTGTTTATGATGCAGTCTCCAGAACAGCTGTACTGTACCCCATAAGCCATTGGAAGAGAAGGAACCACAAAATTCAGCTCCTCAAATCAGTCACGATTTCTTTTGACACAGAGGCACAGTCATACATTCTGATGTGAATCCCAGCCACACTGTAAACTAAAAAGTAATTGAATGTGAAAACTAATCTCTCAAAGTGGAAAATCCCTGCAAAGATAGGTTAAGTGAAATGACTCAGAAATTTCACTTTATTATGCAGCACTTAAGTAATTATTCAAGTTATCCTACAAGTCTCTCATTCCTTACAGATTCATATTCCTGAAAGGAATCAGTGCAAAAATAAAGAGCCTGTGAACTACCACCAGTCAGAATGCCAGTGCTGCCATGCAGATCTGCAGACATTATGAAACAGCTGCAAATAATGAAGCCAAGAAAGCAAAGCAAGAGCTCCACATTCTTCTCATTTCACACTAACTAAGAAATCAAAAGAAGCAATCCGAAGTCTCTGAAAAAGCCTCTGTTTATCACTGTCCAGTGTTTATCCCAGTTGAATTTCACAGAATTTTCACTGAGGATGACAAGGACATCTATTTTAAGACTGGAAAACATATTTTCCTCTCAGAGTCTGTCTGTTCCCAGTTTCCATTCACTTGTGGCACTCAGAGCCAGGATCCTCACTCCAGTGGGCTCCCCGTTTCTCAGTCACCAGCTTGATGAAGTAGCTGTGACTTGCATACAGCTCAAGCTTCTCACTGATGTCAACCCACTTCACAACTCCAGCATCATCACCTGCTTCCAGAGGCAAGTTATCCATTGTCTCACCTGTTCACAAAACAAGAGTTAGAACATGCTATTGCATATTTTCTTCCTGTTTTTTCCCCTCTCACATCCTATTAGTTTCGCCCTTCCACAATGCTCCTTCACAGGCAGCAACCTCCAATGGCTTCTCAGAGAAAAAACAACCAAATCTCTCACTGATTCTGTGCCAGAAATCTTTTTCAGACTTGCACTATTTTAAGGCAAATCTGAATGGCAGAAATGGTGTTAACACCCTGTCATTGTTCCTAGGATATCACCAGCAGCATGAAAAGTTACTGGAAACCATCATGACAACATGTACTTATTACCCCAAGTTTAGCCAATACATCTGCCTGGATTTTTGCTTGTTTGCTTATTTGATTGCTCCTTTTCTCACATACTATTCTACAGGACAAACTGAATTCTGAAACTTATATACACTTATGAAAAAAAAAAAAATTAAAATTTTACTGAAGGCACCAAAATAAAAAATACTAGTTTTTAAAAAGGGATGCCTTTGCTTCTGAATTGCTTTTTTTTCCCAAGTGTTCACTCTGTTTTTAAAAAGAATCTCAGGACTTCATAGACAAGAACCAAGGAAATATTTTTCTATTCTGTATTGGAAACAGAGGCCAAAGATACACTATCTCCACTACTTTGGGGGACCAATAAATATAGGACCAGTGACATGTGAAACTTCACAACTGGCACCTACTATCCAAAATTCAGTGGAAATGTCATTGCATGAAGTCTCTGGCTTGAACACATCTGAAGCATCTAAGTAGACTGATTTACCTTACAGGTGAAAAATGGGAGTCCGAGATAACAGATCGATTTAAGAATCTAGTCCCATATTTTACACCTGACTTTCATGCTCCCCTGATTTCACGGCCATGCTCAGCTCAACAACAGCCCCAATTTCAAACAAACATATGGAGTAAAAGGCAACTAAGAGCATGCCTGGAGATATTTACCTGTTTCATCATGATAGTTCACAGCCTCTGTCTCCATCCAGGCATTATCAGTGTTACGAGGGTCATCCACATATCCTCTGTACACCTATAAGGTCCCGAACAAACCAGAACAAGCTCAGTGTCAAAACAAAGGAGGTGAAATCAGTCATACTTTTTCTTTTCTCTCTGAGACATTTGCCCTTACAGAGTTTTCAACAGTCCCTTCAATTTCCTGCACCCCAAGAAGATGAGCATCACAACTTATTTTCATTTCAGCTGCACTTCTTCAGATTTCATACAGCTATGAGTTACATGTACAGCTCAAAAGGCTACCACAAGAGACACAGAGCTCACCACAAAGTGTTCCTGGCTGAACAGCTTCTGGAGCTGCTTCTCCAATTTTGCTTTCTCCTCAGGGGATTTCTGCAGAGAGTTCAAGGCCTCCTCCTCAAATTCTCTCTTCAGAGTAGCAGTGATCTTCTCTCCTGGGTCCACCATCCCCTTAGAGGGGGGGAAACAAACAAACAAAAAAGTACTGTCCCTCAGATTCTACACATTTTAACGCCAAGCTCTTAGTATATCACATCCACTTGCATCACACATGTGCCATATCTGCCTCATGGCTTCACCAGCAGGGAAATGCCAGCTGCCTCTGAAGCTTTGCCCTTACCCCTGGAATGGCCCACTCCCCACAGTCTCTCCTCTTGATGGCTACGAACTGCAAGATGTTCTTGCCAGAAACTGGATGAGCAATTTTATTGCCACTTCCATCCCTTTTCCACCTGCAGAAAATGATAAACAAGAATATGTTGTGCTACTTCTTGACTCCTGGGCCTGAGAGAGGAAGAGCAAGGCACTGCAACTTTCGTGTGGTGACAAACAAAGCAGAGAATGAACAATTGGGGCGACCAACAAATCCAGCAGGATTGCAACCAAGGACAGAACAATGAGGGTTTTCCTCAGCCAAAAGGGCAGAAAATGCCCATGAGGCATGTTTCTGCAGCCAGGCTGGTAGCAGCAGCTCCTCTGAAAGCTCTCTGAGCTGCACTTTTGCTAATTCATACTAAGAGGATGAGAATGTTTCTGCTGGAACAGAATGGTCACACAAGCTGCAGCAGTACCAGGACAAAGCCACAAGCAGCCACCATTGCCTCCAGTAAAGTAGTAAGAACTACCAACAGGCAGAGCAAAAAGCTAAACAAAAACTAAAATTAAAAGAAATCCAGCATTCACTTTCAAGGAAGCAACTCAGTAGCATTGGCATCTTTCAGGAAAGCGGAAGAAGTAAAATGCATCAGGATGATTTTCCACAATGGTTCTGTCTTCAGCATGGCACTTTCTAGTTCACACTTCTGTTAACCACACAATCTTTTCTGAATACTTTGTGTAAAATGGTTATCACGTACGCACATCCTGCTGGAAAAGCACATCAAAACAAACCGTACAGTGACAAAAAGATTATCCTAACCCCACCTCCTCCTATCACAGACTAAGTCTAGTGTTTAAGTTAGTGTTTCTGATATTAACAAAAGCAGAATGAGCTTACACATAGAAAACACACAGAGAAAAGGGCCATGAAAAGTAATATCCTGCCCAGAAAAGCAGAAAAAAAGCAAAATGCACAGGTCTTTTCTCTACTGCAGGATACCTTGCAGTTACCTGCCCCTTACCTGGTTACAACAGGATCAGCAGCATGGTTTGGTCCCCAGCGCCCCAACAATCCCCTGCCAGTGAGGCCAGTCCTTCCCGCTGGATTGCTGAAATTAATGCCACAGTACATGATTCATGTAGTCCTGAACTGGTTCCAACTGGAAATTAAGCCCAGCCACACCCAGCTCCTCTGATCTCTGAGGACCAGCTGAAACTAAAGGGAGTTTATTTTCTGCTAAATTTCCAAACCCTTAACACATTAAATGTATTTATTTCCCCACATTCAAAACATTCTACAAAAAAAGAAAAACAAAACAAAAAAACCCAACCTAAACAAATTAAAAAAAAACAAACAAACAAACAAATCAAGATTAAATAACAAAAAAGGGAAGGACAGCAACACATATTTTGCGTTAAAGCACATACATGCTTTAAAGGGCAAGAGACATAACACGTTTTTCTCATTCACCAACTTAGATTCATCAAACTAAATTCCATTTTTCTCTCTTGGCTTTGTCCTAGCAGGTACCATGTATTGGAACTGACTGACCTGTAAGAGCACTGAAACTACACCATTGAAGTGAATATACAGACAAAAACCCCACACTCACCGGGGTCTCCCATTTTCGACCACATACAAGCCATTCAGACTCTTCCTCTCCACTTCTCCATCTCTCTCATTGAATTTGGGAGAAAAATCTTCATCACTGTGTGGCAAATAAGAATTTAATAGAGACAAATTACAAAACACAAAAGCTTGTATGCCAGCCATCAGACCAGCAACACCCCTTTGAGTGTGTTGATGAGCAGTTTTTACCAGAACTGGAGTTGCAGGCCCTCCCTTTTCTAAAGGAGGCTATGAAGTCCTAACCTTTTCTGATTACAGTCCCTCTGTATTTAGTTCTGTAGGTAAAAGTGCAGAAATAAAGTATTTAAGATTGCATCTCTCTAAATCTTCACTTAGACAAAGTGTTTCAAAAGTATTTTTGTTAAGATTAGAGGTGTAAAATCACAGAATCATTTTGATTGGAAAAGACTCCTAAAATCACCAAGTTCAATGCAGCACTGCCAAGCCCACTACTAAACCACGCCCCCGTGTGCCACATCCAGATATCTTTTAAATGCCTCCAGGGATGGTGGAGGTGCTTCCACCAGTTCCCTAGGCAGCCTGTTCCAGTGCCTGACAAACTTTTTGGTGAATAAGTTTTTAGTGATATCCAATCTAAACCTCCCGTGGCACACCATGAGGCTATTTGCCTCTTCTCTTATCCCTTGTTACTCAAGACAGAAGAACTGACACCCACATTGTTACACAATCACAAAAAAATCTGTAATTAGTTCAACCTTTCACATTTCCTGAGTCAGAGTGTTCCTTTCAAAAACTACAATTACACTTTCTTTTTTTCATGTTACATTCCAACCATGAATAAACAAGTGTATCACTAAAATGTTCTTCCAAATTCTTAAGAATTAGATTTTATTTAGCTCACAACACAGAGAAACACATGCACAGCATCAATAGCTGTCCATTATTCCAATCTCAATCACCAGCTCAGTAAAATCATGTATCAAAGACCTTCACAACAATCCAAGTACTCAGTTCTCTAACTTCCACACATCACTGTAGAATCACACATTCTTGTTAACTTGCTAACTCAATTCATGATTAGTTCCTGCTTTCATGTTCACAGGGGAAAAGAGCCACCATTTCCACTCACTTGATTTGGGGATCTGCCCAATTGGGTCTGGCCAAAACAGACTTTGCAGTGTACTCCACAGGATCATAATCTTCCCACTCAGTCAGCCAGCCCACTTTATCTTCAGGAACTTGGCTACGCTCAATATGTGATCCTGGATATGGGGAGGTAAGAGCTTTTCTGTGGTGGAACTTCACATTATAACGGTTGAACATATTTACAGGATGAAGACGGGACCAACAGCTTGCAGATACATTACTAAAAGAAAAAAAAAAAAAAGCAAAAAAAATCTCATTCATTATGTTTTAACATGCTCTTTAATCCCCAGTCTTTAAAATACAATACAGCAAGTGGAATAGACTCAGCTCTTTCACAGAAACAATTAGGTTGGAAAAGACCTTTGAGATCACTGGGGCCAAACTATAAACAAATACCGTCGTGTCACCTCAACCGTGGCACTGGAGCACCATGTCCAGTCTTTCCATGAACACCTCTGGAGATGGTGATTCCACCACCTCCCTGTGCAGCCCATTCCAACGTCTAATGAAATTAGAAGAAATTCCTTCTAACATTCAACTCACAAAACGCCTGAAGTTCACAACAAAAACCTTTAACAGAAACGTGGGAAAGAGCAAAACCACTCTTGCACTTTCCAATAATTACATCACTTTAAGGGACAGCCCCGCTTGCCTTTCCCCCAAAGGGACACTGCACACTCCGGCCAAGCTCCCCCTCGGCGGGCGGGGGGTGTACGGCAGCCCCGGGATCTCGGCCGAGCCATCAGGCGGCTGCTCCCGGCGGAACAGGCCGCCGACCGCTGGCAGCGACACCGGGGCCCGATCCGGGCTCCCGCGGCTCCACAGCCCGCAGTACCTGTGGGCGGGGCGGCGCTGGGCAGCGCCCCGGACCCTCAGCAGGACGGAGAACGAGAGCACGACCACCACCCGAGGCAGAGCTCCGGCCAGCAGCGGCATTGGCCCCGCCGCGACTGCACCGCGAGCGGCCCCGCCGCGGCCCCGCCTCAGCCCCGGGGCCTGGCCGGGGCGCTGGGCCGGCGACGCAGGATGCCGCCCCTTGATCCCGCTTCTTGCCGCCGCGCGCTTATACAAGCTGGGCCCCGCATTGGCGGGAGCGGCGTCAATGGCAGCGCCCGGTGCTGGCTCTGGCTGGGGCGGAGCTCCGTAGCCAAGGCAGCCCCGCAGTGCCGGGACGTGCACTGGCACTCAGGGAAGGGCTGATAACACACCCGTGTTTTGGCTGCCGCTGGGCAGCGCTCCCACAGCATCAGCGCTCAGTCCTCAGCATTCCTAGCCATATCAGTGGGCAAGATCCTGGAAGGGAACACAACCAGGCCAGCTAACCCAAACCGACCAAAGGGTTATTCCATGCCACATGACGTCAGCTCAGACATAAAACATAAGGAAGGGAAGGGAGAGCATTCGTTATTTACAGTGTTTGCCTTCCGGAGCGACCGACGTTCGTACGGAAGCCCTGCTTCCCGCGGGGAAGTAGAGAATAACCTTTCCACTTTTATATCTTTTACTTTAATCAACTACCTTAACCCAAGGTAGGAACCTCCATTTCCCATGTTATTGTCCCTCCCCCGCGGAACCCGGAAGATGAGCCCGAGAATGCGGTTCGGAGCGCAGCCCGGCCCCCTCACGCCCGCGGCCTTGCACCGCCCACAGACACGGCCTCGCGCTCAGCCGCGCTCTGATTGGGCGCCGAACCCGGCGGCGTGGCCGCGGCAGGCTGTGGGGCGGGCGGCGCTGGCGGCTCCAGCGCAGTTCGGGCGCCAGAGGAGCTCCAGGGAAACAATGAATCTGTTTCTGGAGCTTCTCCTATTCCTGGCCACGCTCCTCTACTCCTACCTGGAGGCTTTTGTGAAGCTGTTCGTGCCTGTGAGGAGAAAGTCTCTCAGCGGGGAGCTGGTGCTCATCACGGGCGCTGGCCATGGCGTCGGGAGAGCGACCGCCTTGGAGTTCGCCAAGCGCCAGAGCAGGCTGGTTCTGTGGGACATCAATAAGGTAATGGACACACTCATGTCCTCACTCCGTGTGACCTCCGAGTCCACGGGGGATTTAGGGGCGTGAGAAGGGCAGCACCACATTGCACCCCCATCGCCCAGCCCCTTCCAGCCCGCTCCCATCGGGTCCCGCTTGGCTCCTCCGGCTGGGATGCCGAGCGCCAGGAAAGGGTTTGGCCCCGCTTGCAGCAGAGGATGTGGGGCTCTGGTCCCACAGTCACTCGGTGCTACTCGGGAGGGAGCGGGTGGCACCCGGCAGAACACCTGCGAGAGGGAAAGAAGTGCTCGGGAAGCTGCTGCTGGAGCTGCTGCCTGGGCTGGAGGAGAAAGCCCGCTGAGACCAGAAGGCTGTTTGCAAAGAGGAGCAGGTCTGCCTTCACTTGTTCTCTCTGTAGCCTCGGGTGTTTTGAGTGCATTGCTGGGAGATGTGTTTTCTCTGCACTCTCATCAGCAGCATCCCTGTGCCGGGCTGTGTGTGAGCCCGGCTGCCCTCTGGGCAGCTGCACACGTAGATGGCACCTCTAAATGTTTACACTGGCCCAAGCTCTTTATTTCAGATGATTTGACTGGAATGCAAAAATGCCGTGGCAGGTGGAGGATGGGCAGATACAAACATGCAACATGGCATTCTGAAGGAATCCAGGCCAAGTGCTGGGCGTAGGTGCAACAGGGTGGATGAGAGGCTGTGTTTCCTGTTTCTGACACACTGGCTCAGCAATGGAGTTCATCATGAAGCTGCAAAACGCAACCCAGCCCTCCACAAACAAAAATACACCAAACCTGAGACAAGCTGAATGAGAGGATGGATAAACAGGGAAAATAGTGTTGAACATTTTCATTGTCTGTTCATGGTACCCATTATGCCTAAAATCAGATGTTGGAGGGGTGGGAGGAGGCATGGCACCGCTCTCCCAAAGTGTACAGGGCTGCAGTGAAACAGAGAATTATTCATGTCCAGTGGATGTGTGATAAATAGGTGTGATTCGT